TTCAGGAGGAAGCAAAAGGAGTTGGGTTCTTTGCCTTGCCGGGGGTGGACAAAAGAAGGTTTTTGTAAGGGCTTCTCCGCTTTGCTGTAGGAGCAAAAGGAGAGTCACTTTGGCAGTGCAATACTCAGAGGGGGCCTCCAGGGCGTGGACGTAGGTCGAGTTGACCGAACCACTATAAACCCTTCTGTTCTTTTTTCTGCTTCCGCATTTAATTTTTTTTTCACACTTATTTTCTGTGGTGATTTTGGTTTGAGCTTTGTTGCGCTTTGGTTAAAAGAATTTTAAAATACCAATTCACCCCCCTCTTGGTTAGCCTTGGGCCAGTTCATAAGGGCCTAACATCCCTAACAAACTTTCACAAGTTACTATAATAGTTATTATATCTATATCCATTCAACCTATTAGGAATCCTATTAAGGAGCATTGGGATGCTTACTAGCTTAATGAACTCCATTATATGCTTTGGCATTCCCCACCTTCAAATTGGATGTAACTCAATGTTAATGCTTATATTTTCTATTCAAACTGAGTTAGTATAGGTGGTGTTAAAGGAAATAATTTTAGTATTCTCATTCTGGTGTTTGGTAAGCATATTTTGCTCAAGGATATTATTCAAGTTTAGCTTCTTTATGTTCCCGCACTCCTGGATATTCTACAATTATGGATGTTTGAAAAACAAGGCATTGTGATTGAAGGTGATAATTTTAATTTCATCAATATGCTTGAAAAATCTATGGCGAATTTGAAATGGTTATATGAAGTCAAGTTGGAATAGGATATTTCTTTTATGAAAGATATTAAACAAGTTGCCTTTCACTATATATCAAGGGATTTTAATTATATGGATGCTTTTTTTACTCTTATGCTACTTTTGGTGATTTTATTTGGAAGAATATAGTAGATAATAATCTTCTCTCTACCATCTTGAATTATTGATGAAGGATAGTGATAGGACTATTATCCCATTATTTTTTTATTTATTTGTAATCTTTTTTTTCCCTTTTTGATGCAAAGTGCAACTTCTCAATATAAATCAAGCAGATCTATACAGGCCTTAAGTTTTAAATTAAATATTTATTAATGTATTGTTATTTTAAATTTAATGAAAGTTATTTAATTAATAAAATTTAATTCAACTTAATTTAATTTAAAATATTTATTATATGCTATTTTTCTCTAACTTCTATTTATTTTATTTAAATTTGAATTTGTGGAATTTAATGAAAACTTTAATTAATTTTATTTTTTTTAATTAAATGTAGTTATTTTCTTTTATTTTTAAAATTTTAATAAGAAAGAATAAAATGAAGAATAAGGGGCCAAAAGACACCACCCAGAAAAGGGTTAATCTTGAATTTAAATTATTTTAATTGAAATCAAATATAGCTTTTATTTAAATTTTATTAAAAAATATTTTATATTTTAAAAATTTATTTATTTATTTATGAATTTTTGAACTTTTGTAATAACATTTTTTTGAAAAATCCGTTATGGCGCCTGCGTGTTAATATAAAAATAGATTACAAGATCCTTAAAGGGAACTTTCAGCTCGCTAATGTTAAAAAAAGCTACAAAACAAATCAAAAGAAAACCTATGAGCCGATGGTTCCCTATTTTATAATAAAAAAATCACCTAATAACATTCTAGGGTGGCCAGAAGCTTGCACCCAAAAAGGAAGAAAATAATTGACACTTTCAAGGCAATCTTCCAATAAAAAATATCCATCTTGCCCACAAAAACCTTAATCCCTTGAATCTACATGAGAATCAAACAACAAAGACAAATCATGTATAAGAGCATATATGTAGGATTATAAATTATCAAAATAAAAAATCAAAGAAGTTCGAAATCTCTATCAAATGCCATTTGGAACCTACCAACACTAAAGAGTAAAAATACTTAGACAAGTTGTAATCCTTAACAAATTGAAATAGAATAATGTTGAAGGAATGATAAGCGTAGGAAATGGAAATAATAAAAAGAATATACATGCTAAAACAAAAGAAAGAGAGTTCTGACAACAAAAGAAGCCTAGGATGAACGTCTTTGTGCCAAAAAATGGGATTCACCAGAATAAGAAACTTGGGGGGAGCAAAATAGGTAGCACCATAATACTTGGATAATGAACAACCATAAAAAAATATAGACCACTAGAAGGGGACAAGACATTAACACCATTCCCATTCCAACCAATATGATCAAAAGACATAAACAAAATAATAATGAATCTTGACCCATGATTCTTCCACATAAAAAAGAAAAACAAGACAATAATGATATCCAAATGAATAATCCCCCTTAGCTTGATAACATCAATAATGAAAATCTGAACCAAACTGTAGAGGAACCAGTCCAAAGTCAGTTGTAATGAAAATAAAGCCAGTAATAAGTGAATCCCTAAAACAATCTCCCCCACACAGGAAGAGATAAAATTAACCAAACAAAAAAAGGGTTCATCCACAAGAACATCAAATAAACAATTAAGAAAAGAGTCAAACAAAGAGCTAAAGAACAAAGGCACCACAACAAAACTTAATGTTTGAAGACCCAAAAGAAAAAAAAAAAGAAAAAGAAACTATAACATAAGGTATGCCCATACAATCAATCCTAGCTAAACAAAATAGTCTGGGAGGAATAGAGGACCCCTAAAATTCCATAAAACCTGATAGGTTACAGCCCAAATCACCTAAAAAGTCAATAGCAACATTTCCTTCTCTATATATGTGAGTTATAGAAAAATTGCTAAGAGACA